CAGTCAATGTTTGCTTAAATATAACTGTGTGTTTGCCATAAAGTTCATTCTTACATTGAAAGGCTGTATAGTGTTATCAGTTAAGAGAATGATCTCTGGATTCAGACTACCTGGACTTGAAATAAAGTTACTTGGGTTCTTTGTGCCTAAAATAGAAATGTAAAATAGACAATGATAGTACATTTTCTTCCAAGAACATCTTTTAGAAGGAACTTCTGCTGGTAGTAAACTCTGTTTTTGTATGCAATTGTCTTTTATTTCACTCTTGTTTTTGAAAGATAATTTTTCTGAGCATATACTTAATTAGCAGTTATTTTATCTTGTCACTTTCAATTATTCCTATCTTCTGGCTAATTCTATTCTTGCAATTGAGAAGTTAGGGTCAGTCTAATTCCTTCTTTTGTATGTAATCTGTCTTTTGTCTGGATGCTCTCTCTTTTTTTAATAGAGGTAAAATTTATGTAGAGTGTAATCCACAGATATTAAGTGTGCAATTCAGTGAGTTTTGATGAGTATACACTAGTGTAATAACTACCACCCCTATCAAAATACAGGAGCATTTATGTCAACATAGAAAGTTATCTCATATTCATTTCTAGGCGTTCCGTATTCCATTCCACAATAGGTAACCAATAATCTGATTTCTATCAACAGATTAGTTTTGCCCATTTTTGAACTTAATATAAAAGGAATCATGCAAGTGGACTCTTGTTTATGGCTTCATTCACTGAGCATAATGTTGGAAATTCATCCATGTTGTTGTGTTTAAGAGTAGTTCATACTTTTGCTGAGTACTATTCCATTTTATGAGTATAGCATGGATCAACATTTGAGTTATTTAAGGTTATGAACAATAAAGCTGCTATAAATACTCATGTACAAGTCTCTTTGTGGATATTCATTTACATTTATTTTTGGTAAAGCCTAGGAGTGGAATTGCTAGATAATAGGGTAGGTGTGTGTTTAATATTTTATTTTACATTTCACTAGCAGTGTATGAGAATCCCAGTTGCTCCACATCATCACCAACATTTGTTGTTGTCAGTTTTTAACCATTCTAATGGGTGTGTAGTGGTATTTTGTTATGGTTTTAATTTGCATTTCCCTAATGACTAATGATGTTGCATACCTTTTCATGTGCTAATTGGCTATTTATATATCTTCTATGGTAAAAGGATGTCTGCTCAATTTTTTGCCTATTTTTTAAAAATCGGGTCTTTTGTCATTTTATTGATTTGAAAGAATTATTTATGTATTTTGGGTACAAGTCTTTTGTTGGTTGTGTGTTTTACATATGTTTTCTTCCATTCTGGTTTGCTTTTTCATTTTCTTAGTAGTGTCTGTTGTTGAGCAGAAGTTTTTAATTTTGATGAAATCTAATTTATCAATTTGTCCCCCGTTATACTTGTCTTTTTTGGTTAAGCCTTTTGGGCCCTTGCTAAGAAATCTTTGTTTTTCTTAAGATTGCAAAGATATTCTCCTATGGTTTCTTCTGGTTGTTTTATCATTTTGTATTTATGTTTATATATTTGTGAAAGTGTGTGATCATATAGAACTTCTTGTATGTGAGATCAGGATCAAGCTTCATTTTACTTGCTAAACCTCTGTCCAGTTGTTCTAGGACCAATTCTTGAAAAGCCTTTTCTTTCTCCATTGAATTCTTTTGGTGAGTTTCACAAAAAATGACTGCATATGTATAGTTCTTCTGGACTCTGTTCTTTTCTATTGTTCTATTTGCTTTTTGTCTGAAAAAAGAAATTCTTTCTGTGTTTGTGTGTTACTGTTTCACTGATTACCTGTGTATTTCTTTCTCTTATCCTGCTTAGGATTTATTGGGCTGCCAGAATCTGAGGCTTTTGAAATCTTTAACCAGTTTTGGAAAATGCTCATATCTTTAGTAAAGTGATCTCTCCCTTATTTTCTCTTTCTTCTTCTGGAACTTAGATTCTGTAGATGTTATTCTATCTTTTTTTTTTTTTGAGACAGAGTCTCACTTTCTTGCCTAGGCTAGAGTGAGTGCCATGGCGTCAGCCTAGCTCACAGCAACCTCAAACTCCTGGGCTCAAGCGATCCTCCTGCCTCAGCCTCCCAAGTAGCTGGGACTACAGGCACGCGCCACCATGCCCGGCTGATTTTTATATTATATATATTAGTTGGCCAATTAATTTCTTTCTATTTTTATGGTAGAGACGGGTCTCGCTCAGGCTGGTTTTGAACTCCTGACCTTGAGCAATCAGCCCGCCTCGGCCTCCCAGAGTGCTAGGATTACAGGCGTGAGCCACCACGCCCGGCCTATTCTATCTTTTGTGTCTATTAACTGCTCATGTTTTCTAACTCAAAATTTAGATCATTTCTTCAATTCCATTTTTCTAGTTCATAAATTCTTTACCTATGTACTATTTTCTGTTTAACTTATCTGCTGATTTTTTATTTCAGTTATACTTTTCTACATATTTATTTTCTACATATTTCTACATATTTATTTGCCACTCAAAAATCAGTTTCTTAGTCGTTAGTTATGCTTTGATAGTCTCATTTCTTCAGATGATTTGTACTTTTTATTATTATAATATCTGCAGTCTTTGTGTGATTCAGTAGCTTCTTCCTGTGGTGGCTCATTTCTTTTCTTTTTTAAAATTAGTTTTTGATTGTGAGCTCATTAGGCCTTACTTGTGTGAATTATTTCTGGTCTGGGTTTAGGGTGTATTTTTCCAGAGAGAGTTGCATTTGCTTCTCCCAGGAATACCTACCCAGGACCAGTTGACATTAAATTCTCACTTGGCCTCGGAAAAGTAATTGAATTCAAGCCCCCAAACTTGAGTGGATGCCATATTGTGCTTAGGAAGACCCCACTCCACCACTATTGCCACCTTCTACTCAGAGCCAAAACTAAAAGCAAAAGTACTGACTTCTATGGGATGTGATGGGCTTTTTTTGGTTTTTTTCTTCTCTAGTTCGTCTTTTAGTGAGGATGTTGCCTTTTGGGGTCCCAGCTTTTTGGTCTTGATCTGATTTCCCACTTTGAGTAGATCCTAGGCTTGATATGACATCTTTTCAAGTATATTACCATTTAAAATAAGACCATAGTGAGGATGTGTAACAACTAGAACCCCCCATACTTTGCTGGTGGGAATGTAAAATGGTTTTGGAAAACTTGGCAGTGTCCAGTAAAGCCCGACTTAGGCCTGTCCTGTGTCAAGACAAAATTACTACATATTTAGTTTGAAGATCAAACTGGCTTTTTATTAGTGATTCATGAATTGGACAGCATCTCATCTAAAGATTTAGAAAAGGCAATTCAATGAGCTGAGCAGAGGAGATTGGCTTTACACAGAAAATGGCTAAAGAAAGCAGAAATAGGAAACAAAAAGTAGGTTGATCATTTCGAAGTTACTTTCCTTATAGGGTTAAATAGAAAAGACTTCTTTATTGTGCCAGTTCAGGTTAACTGGGCCCCCTTCTGATTGGTTCCGGTGAATCTTTTGTTTTTTGGAAAATTGGCCCATTTCAAAGTTTAGTTTGATTAGGTGACACTATGCATGAGTGACTGCATCCTGGTTGTATATATCTGGTCTGTTGGGCCTACTGCAGGAGCTCAGTCCAAAACAATGGCTTTTCATAAATTTCATTTAATACCTGTGGTTCAGAGAAATGAATGTGTATATCTACATAAGAGCATGTAAAAGAATTTTCATAGCACCTTAATTGATAATTGCCTAAAACTGGAAGCTATTTAAATCTCTACCAATGGGAAGATTAGTAAATTGCGGGATATTTATGCAGTGGTATATTGAACAGCAATAAAAAGGAACAAACTGCTGACAAACAAGAACATGGATGAATCTCACAAACATTAAGTTGAGTGAAAGAAGCCAGACATTAAATAGTAGTGCTGCATGATTCCATCTATATGGTATTCAAGAATAGGCAAGACTGTAGTGATAGAAGTCAGTGGTCACCTCTGAAGAATGAGGTATTGACTGAGAAGAGGCATGAGGGAACTTTTGGGGATGATAGAAATCTGGATATGGGTAGTGATTATGTAGGTGTATACATTTGTAAAAATTCATTGATCTCTATATTCACAGTTAGGCAGTTTACCACCTCCTTTTTAATACTTCAATTACAAAAGGACAGAAAGAAATTTAGGGCCATGAAAGATTAGCAGATCATTTCAGGACATCCTTTGTTTAATTGCTGGGTAATTTTTCTTGGGTGGGAGTATGTGTTTATCTGAGGATTTATTATTTTACTCTCTTGTTCACATATGCATTTTATAGTCTACTTCTACTACATTGCCGAATACTAGAATCTTATTTTCAAGATTAAAAATGTTTTCTATTTCTCTTATTAAAAAATACTGTCATTATAGGAATATTATTCTCTCTTTTCATTACAGATGTGTATCATTCCTACCTTCTGTGTTAAAAATACTTTTCTGACTTGGGTAAATGGAATTCCTTCTGTTTTTACAACTTTTCTATAAAATCCTAGAATTATTTCAAAATAAAGTGTTAAAAAAACTTACTATTTTAGAAACCTAATTACCATTAATAATTCTGAGTTTTAAGCAACCAACTTAGAAACATTTGGAATGCAATTCACAATTCACAAATGAGGACTATCCATGCTATATTTGATTCTTCATTTCAGTTCACGATAACTGCTTTTTGACATCTCTGATTTAAAGGATCAGTTTTGGGAGAATCTTCTGGAATATCTGTTTTTAAGATTAGTGAGCTATTTCATCTATTGCATGAAGTAGCATAGTAGTAATTCTGAAAGCCCAGTTATTTAATGAAAGCCTTAATCTTTCTTTCCTGTCACTTAAATTTTCATGTGTTTGTGAACCCTACCCAATCTATTTTTATATAACATTCTTAAAGTATAATGTAATTTTAAAAAATTCATATACTTGCATGTCATCTCTTTAGCCTCTAATTGGGGGACATTTTATATACTGTTATTTACTTTTATTGTGCTTTCCTTCTGTTTTTAAGGAGTGGACCTACCCTATGAGACGAGAGATGCAGGTATTAAAACCTTTTGTTTGTTCAAGCCAGCCTGTAATATTGTCATTATTAAATAAGTATTTATCAAGTATTTTAATTATTTGAGGTTAATCTTAGATCTTAAAAAGATGAAAAATAGATTAGAACAAGGAACATAGTAATATATGTATGTGCCTAATGAGTTACTTTCTTTTTCTTCATCTGAAAAATTGAATGTTATATGTATTCCTTTTGAAATCAGTTTGCTTTCTTTGTCTAGCTTAGATAAGTTTAGGAGAGTTGACTGTACAGCAGATCAGACATTCAAATAGTTGTTCATTTTTGTGTCTGATTTCCAATCAGCTCCCAAAATTAAGTTTCCCAGAGACTGAGTTGAATACATGCAGTTTGGAATGAATTAAAATGGTAGCTAACCCTAATAGCAGATTGTTTTGTTTTCTTTTGCTTTTCTTAACCATTTACAGTCAACTGTGCTAGCCCCAGGATTAAGCAATGTCTCATTCTTGGGAATACCTTTACTTCTAAAAATCTGTTACCTTTCTCTCTTAATGCAAATTCACTTTTTAAAGATATGTGAGGGCCAGGCATGGTGGCTCACGCCTGTAGTCCTAACTCTCTGGGAGGCCTACACCAGGAGGATTGCTCAAGGTCAGGAGTTCAAAACCAGCCTGATCAAGAGTGAGACCCCATCTCTACTAGAAATAGAAATAATTAATTGGCCAACTAAAAATATATAGAAAAAATTAGCCGGGCATGGTGGCACATGCCTGTAGTCCCAGCTACTGGGGAGGCTGAGGCAGAAGGATTGCTTGAGCCCTGGAGTTTGAGGTTGCTGTGAGCTAGGCTGACGCCACAGCACTCTAGCCTGGGCAACAAAGTGAGACTCTGTCAAAAAAATAAAAAATAAAATAAATAAAAAAATAAAAATAAAGATATGTGAGTACCTATAAGGCATTATAATTTGGTGCTATGAGGAATGAAAGATGAGTAAAATGTAATTTCTGCCTGTAAGAAGCTGGTGGGAGAAATCGGTCCTATACACAAATAATTATGATGTCTTATAGAACTAAACTAGAAAATTACACCATTATATTAGTATCTGGGGTATGATATATCCAGACTAAAAACTTTCTATGTTGAATTTACATAGACTAAATGTGAATTGAGCGTTTAGAAGGTCCTTATTTAAATTATTGAAACTTCATGAACAGGCAAATGTTTGATTCTGGACTTTTTAATTTGCAGTAAGAGTTTGCTTCTGTTAACTATAGGTAATAACTCTAATTCTGTTCTATCTTATGCTGCTTTTGTTTTGGCTGAATAAGGTCTTGTGTAATTCCAAAGGGGTGATTTCTTTTATACCTATTTTGTTTCTAGATTATAGCAGAGAAGTAAAATTAGAGAGGTTTTATTAATCTAAAAGCAATAATACAATGTACTAATTCTACCCAAACCTCTTATAAAAAGCACTTACAGAAGTTCAAATGTCTGACTTTTCAGAACTATATTTAAACTTTTAATGTCTCATTTGATATTATAAAGGCACATCATATTTCTCTTCCAAATCATTTGCTCAGTGTGGCTAGGAAATGCTCCCTAAATAACAAACTTTTAAGCAAATTATTATAACAACTAAGAAAACACCCCCACAAATTCAATTATATGGTACATACTTTGTATAGATTTAAATTGCTGATGGTAAATATCTCAATTTTTTTCTAGGAAATTTTACCTGGATTGTTCTTAGGCCCATATTCTTCTGCTATGAAAAGCAAGGTATGAATTTTAAGTTAGCTTTAGCAAGACAGACTTTATTAACTAAGTTTTCTTGGGTAAGTTTTTTATTAACAGTAATAAAGAGTTTTATTTAAAGAAACATCCAGAAACACTAATTGTTAATAGTATTTGTCACTCTGGGGTACCTTCCTCTTTCCCAATTTCATTGGACCCATGGTTCTTAAGTGTTTCAGCACAAATCATAAATAAAGTTTTATGTTTTATTCTTCTTATGAAATGCATGTGTTTGAAAGATTTACCAAACATTTGACCTTTAATAATTTATTTACTCTCTACAACATTAGACATCTAGATTGCTAATCATAGCTTTGGAACAAAATGAGATACAGTTGAAGTGCAAAATAAGGAATTTTACCATTTTAGTTAACCTTTCCTTATCTAGGGTTAAGAAGTTGTGTTTTTTAATTGCAAATGATTCATCTTATTTCTGGTTTTCTAGATTTTAGAGGACTAGGTGCTCCAGGTTGGGAAGCATTGTACTATTCAGATTCAACATCCTTAATCTGAAGTCTGAAATGCTCCACTTGAAAGAAATGCTCTGGAGCATTTCAGATTTGATATTTATGTATTAGGGATGCTCAACCATTAAGTATAATGCAAATATTCCAAAAGCCAAAACACTTTTGGTCCCAAGCATTTCAGAGAAGGGATATTCGGCCTGTATTGCTGTCCCATGTAGTCCAACTGTAATGGACTTCTTTAGTTAAAATGGGTAGATCGCCTTTTAATATGTAGAGCAATGTTCTTGTGACTTCTAAAACATCCAGGTCTATGAATTATGACAATACTACTAATTAACTTTGAGTTATAATGTCAAATATTGTATCTCAAATGTCTTCTTTAATACTTTCCTATTTAGAATTTAGTATATTCAAATAATAATATGCTGTCTCTATGATATAATTTGATGTTCTTATGAAGTTTAGGAGATTAGGATTTTTGAAAAGAGTATTCATCTTGAAACTAGAAGGTTTTTTGACTGTTAAGGAGTGACCAAGAGTAACCCTGCTCATTTTGATGACCTACAGCTAAGTTGGAATATGGGAAATTGGTGAAATTGTGCTAGGGAAAGGACAGGACAGGTAATTATAGATACCATCATCCAAAACCAAACAAAATAATGGAGATAAATAGACCTCAGTGAATGAACTCCTTTTTAAAGATTCACTTACTTAAATATAACTTTTTTTTTCTTTAAGAGATAAGGTCTTGCTCTGTAGCCCAGGCTAAAATGCAGTAGCATGATCATAGCTCACGACCTCGAACTCCTAGGCTGAAATGATACCTATAGGTGCACAGTACTCTTGGCTAGTTTTTTTTTTTTTTTGTAATTATATTTATTTTTTTTTTTAGAGACAGGGTCTTGGTATGTTGCCCAGTCTGGTCCCAAACTTGTAGGCTCAAGTGATCTTCCTGTCTGGGCCTCCCCAGTTGCTGGGATTACAGGCCGAGCCACCATGCCCAACAGACTTAAGCATTTCTTTTATTCCATTCAAATACAGTTTATTCAGTAGGGACAAATTTCGGCTCAAATTTTGAACTATATCTTTTTGTAAAATTTTTTGACTGTAGATACAAGGTAAGGACATAATTTGCTTTATATAAACAAATCCATTGATCCAAGTGTAAACTAAGGAATGAATATTGAATTCATTTTGGAGGTCAGCATAAATGTAAATATAGAAGATTGTTTAATGATTAATCCTACCAAATGCTTACCTCACTTTCCCTAACTCAGAATATATTCAGGAAATACAAAGATAATTGAACTGTGAACTATGCTGACATAAGAAAATTTGTTGCAAAAATCAACATTTAAAATTTTTGAAGACCATGTTATCTCAGTCAGCGCAGGCTGCTGTAACAAAATACCCTAGACTGGGTGTCTGAAAATAACAGATACTTATTTCTCAGTTCTGGAGGCTAGGAAGATCAGGGTGTCAGCATAGTCTGGTTCTGGTGAGGGCCTTTTCCTGGCTTGTATATCCCTGTGGCCTTGCTATAACTTTACATGGCAAAGGGAGCAAGTTCTTGTCTCTTTCTTCTTACAAGGTACTAATCCTCATGACCTCATCTAAAATTAATTACCTCCTGAAGGCCCACCTCTTAGTACCATTACATCTTGGGGATAAGGGCTTCAACATATGACTTTGGGGTGACACAAACATTCAATTCATAACACAAATTATTTTTTACTTCTCTCATGAATTATTAGTGCTATTATTCTGGACTATTTAATACAGAAAGTGGGAACATATAGAATTATAAACTGAAGGTGTCATAGGCAATTTACGGTTACTCTGATTTCTCATGCCAGCATGATTTATTAATTCATTTATTGAACAACTTAACTATGTGACACATACTTGATACTTAATTTGAACTATGTTACATGTATTGCACATACTTAACTATGACTCCTTGAAAAGAAATCTTAACTCTCATGGAATTTAACGTTCTAGCTAGTAAAATAACATGTGATCTATAAACTCACTGAAACCTATACTCACTTGCACATAAAAATTTATTACTTGCTAATTTCTAGAATTGTTATGTTAAATTGCTTTTAAGTATACAGCCAAAAGCACTGCAGATTGAGTATCCCTACCTAATACAATAATCTGAAATCCTCCAAAATCTGAAACTTTTTGAATGTTGACATGATCTCACAGTGAATTTTGGGTTTAAACTTGGTTTCCATCCTCAAGACATCTCAGTATGTGTATGCAAATATTTCAAAATCTGAAATCTAAAACATTTCTGGTTCTATCTAGTTCCAAGCATTTCCAATAAGTGGTACTCAACCTTGAATAGAATAGAATAAGATGTCATTGGAGTTGCCATTTTCACACTTTAGAAAAATTTTTTAATGGTGAAGGGTTAATTAGATTCTGTGAATTATAGAAATTAACTCTGGCTTGTAGTAGAACATGTATACTAGGGAGGTGGGGAGTAGTTCAGAGATATGGGCTTGGGTCTTGCTATTAATTAGTAGGTCAGTGATGTTCAAGTATTTGGTAATGTAACTATGTTGTATTTTAGTGGTCCCCTCTGAAAAATAAAGGTTGCAGTCAATGTATATGAGTGCTGTTTACTAAACACTTGCTATGTTTCCCAAACACTGTGCCAAACACCGTACATAAAGGTCCTATGAAGCTCTAAAATTATAGATGTATTCCTGTTAACCTTTTGAAGACATTTAGTGTATTAATCTTGAATCCTTGAAATATCTTGCTGATCACTTCAGGTACGTTATTATAAAATTAGCTTTAATACTCTGGATTTAAAGCTCAAATGTGAGTTTGTGTATTTTTTTTTTATAATTTTTAAATAAATATATTATTTTACTTTTTTTTCTTTTTTTTCTTGGGTCATCCTTTAGCTTGTAGAGTTTGTGTATTTTTAAACATCTGTGTTACATTACGATGGTGTTTTATATTTTAAACTATTTCTCTTCCTTGTCACCCTTCCCCTTTTTTCTTTTTTTTTACAGCTACCTATATTACAGAAACATGGAATAACTCATATAATATGCATACGACAAAATATTGAAGCAAACTTTATTAAACCAAACTTTCAACCATTATTTAGGTAAGAAGTATTGCTATGATTTATAAAACATGTTCAGGGTAACAAACATTTAATGAAGTTTTATTTCAGGTTTTATACCATCAGACTTTCTTTTGTACAAATCCAGTTTGTAAAGATGAGTCATCCAGTACATCATTTTTAAAATAAATTTTGTTCAAAATATTTAAATAATTCATTCTCATAATGTAGAATTCTAACAGTTCAAAAGAATATACTAAAAAGTAGGTTTCTCTGTTTCTAACCCCTAGGTATTCAATTCCTTTCCCTCAAGTCACTTACTGTTACCCCTTTATTGAATATCCTTCCATTGTTAAGTTATATATATGAGCATAGTCTTATAGATAACTTTTATTTTTTACACTGGCTGTTTTTACTTTATATTTTTTGGAAATTGCTTCATATCAGTACTTACATAAAGCTGCTTTATTCTTAAGTTGTGTCATAATCCATTGTATGACTATACTAAAATTTAGTCAGTCACTCTATTGTTGGACATTTACATTGTTTCCAGAGTTTTATTAATATATGTAGCCTATAATGACTATCCCTGTACATGTTGTTTAATTCATATATGGGTATATTGATGGGATAAATTTCTAGAAATAGAATTGCTGGATCTAAGAATATGAGCATTTAAATTTTGGTAGATGTTGCAGATTGCACTTCAGTGATTTGTATCAGTTTCCATTCCCTCTATCGGGTGTGTGAGAGTGACTTTTCCTTTGGTATTTCTCCAAGACAGAATTATAAAGTATTTAATATTTTTCCAAGTCTGATGGATTAAAAATGGTGTCTTATGTAGTTTTAATTTGACATTAACCAAATGTTCCTGGAACAAATTCTTTATCCTGATGGAAGAACCATTTCTCCTTAGACTTAAAAATACTAGCTACTTATAGATTAATAGTTCTACCAGAAGTTCATGACATTGAAAATGGCATGCATTAAAATTTTTTAGTTTGACTCTGAGTTAACTTTTTTTTTCTCTGAAATGTTGTATACAACAGGGCTACTCAATCACTTTAGGATACAGTTTTTGTCAGAATTCATATGAGTTAAACATTTGATTTTCCTCAGATCCTGAGCTTCAACTTCTATATTAAGCCCTGAATTTTTTGAAGTTGTTAACACCTAAGTGATCATTGAAGAACTGTAATTTTAAAAGCAAAATTGACCTTAAAAACTGATTTCATAACTGAGTTAATTACTTAACAGTTGTGTTAATAAACAGGTGGTCTTAGGTTAGAAATTGAAGTTTTTCACAAAATAAAATAAGCCTAGCACATTAATAATGCCTTATTTTAAATGTTTTTTAAGGTATACATTTTCAACGTAGGTGTTCTCTTACCTGTTTTTTGCTTTACTAAAGATTAGTTTAAACAGTGAATCTTTGACTCATGAACAGTTCCATCAATAGTGCCTTCTGTTTTTATTAGCTTCTTCTAATTCAGACTTTGGATTTTCTCTAAAGTGTCCTTTGTAGGGTTATGAGGAGGGCTCACAGGACCACTTAGAGAACAATTTCCTGGTCTTAGGAAAATTGCTAGAAATAAAAGAATGGTAACCATTAGGGGTACTTTTTATCTATTTTTTTAGGTCCAGTCTGATCTAGAGGAAAGTTTTGTTCCTGCTTGTGGGTTTTTGTTATTTTTTCCTGTTTTAACTATGTGGATTGTTTTATACTAAAATATCGAAGATGTTAACATGTTGTTTAAGGCTTTAAGTGTTTATGGTTATATTTCCTCAAGCAGTATAAAATCTATGACCCAGTTCTTGGGAATATGATATTTTGAATGTTTTGCATTCTTTTCATGGTTACCAAGAAATATTCAAAGTTATTTTTTATACATCAAGAGTTTTATTTAAAGTGTGCTTATCACAAAATATTCTATTTTCAGATATTTAGTCTTGGATATTGCAGATAATCCAGTTGAAAATATAATACGTTTTTTCCCTATGGTAGGTATCAGTATTTTAAAAATATCATTTAAATTTATTTATGATTTGACATCTTAATTGTCGGTTCTAAAACTTACCTCTTTCACTTTGTTGTGACTGAAAATTGTGTGATTGTTTTTTAAAGAAAATTATTTGTAGAAAATATTTTTAAGATCTCCAAAAATTTGAGAAATCACACATTGAATTTATTAGATTTTTTAAATTAAATTTTAGCCCCTGCATAATTTTTTTTTACTTATAATAATTCTATTTGTAGCATTTTGTAAATTCTTGAATTAAGATAATTTTTATACATATAAATTAGGAAATTGTTCTCAATGGATTTCATTTTGATTCATTATATGTATTTTATGCTTAGGGTAATCCACATGTTTTATTGTAACACATTGTCTTTTGCCTTTAGAGTAAAGAATTTATTGATGAGAGCTTACAAACTGGAGGTAAATGATATTTCCTTTACTTAGTAAATGTTTATTTTTAGGAGATTATTTGTTTGTTAAGTTTTTACTTGGTATTTGTCTTAAATCCAAGATGTGGAAATTGTAATTATATGTTAGACTATACCCAAATTTGTATTTTCCCAACTAATTTCATTTGGATAAGGTTTCTTAAATATCCCTATAGAATTGTTTTAAAATTCTCTGTGAGCTTTAAATTTCTTTAATCTAAAAGTCTGTTGTATTTTCTATACAGTTAATATAAATAAATTATAAAAATTTGAAAATTAATAAATATCCAAGTGGTATGTACATGATGTAAAATAACAAAGATTTATTTTAATGTGGTATGATATGTGTGGTTTCACTATATTTCAACTGCTGACTCGGGTGTTTTTCTATCAGAATAACTTTATTGTTTTTCAGGAAAAGTTCTTGTGCATGGAAATGCAGGGATATCCAGAAGGTATGGAGTTAGAGATTATCTTTCTTTAACATTTAATTAATGAGCTGTGCTTTCTGTTTTTTTCTAAAAATTTTTTCTCCCTCTGCAGTGCTGCGTTTGTTATTGCATACATTATGGAAACATTTGGAATGAAATATAGGTAAGAAAGTACTCCAAAACCTGGCCACAATTTAAATTCTTATTAAAATGAAACTTAATAGAAATGGCTTGGGAGTTTGAAGTTAATATTCCCCTGATTTTTTCATGTAGTCATTCTTGATTAGGCAGACCCTCTATCCCAAGATTATTCTCTTAACCTCATTCATCTATCTGTTTATATCTGCTTAGGCTGATATTTTTGTGGTTTTATGGAGCTAGTGCTAACTTGTTATTTTAAGAAACCAAGGTAACATAGATGGATTAACCCATTATAATTGGATTAACCGCAGGGAATTGTTTTTGAGTTTAAAAACACTTGGACATAAGTGTTAGTGTTTGCCTTGTTTAAAAGGCTAATTTATTATGCTCTCCTTTAACAATAGTTGGATGAAAAATTACCTAGGAATTGTTTGTAGCATCTATTCACAGTTCAAGGTAGTCTTTGTTATCAAAAATCATCTTTTTCAACTATACTACAAAGATTTTTAAAGGGGGAGATCATGAGATTTTTGCCCCAAAACAAAGAAGAAACCTGGTTAGTGTATGGTATTTCCTTTCTCAGTTTGTCTTATACCAGTTAAAAATCTTGTAGTAATCATTCACACCTCTTTGTATGTCACTCCCCCTTTATGTTTAAATTGTAACAGAAAATTTTGTTTAAAAGTGTCAGTTCTTAAAGGAATATTAATTGAATACAAATGTTTTATTCATTTGAAAAAATTTAACATGCATTATGGACTTAACGTTTTATATATTCTCTTTATTATTTGGAATCTTGTCAGTAATAATAGTGAAAATAAATAAGAAAAATAAAGTTTAGAGAAGGTGAGCAAGTTCCCCTAGGACACACAGCTCGTGAGCAGAGGGATTGTGATATTTAGTCTGACCATATTTTTTCCACTGCAACTCACTACTGTTAAGCTGTATGATCATGCTTTCCTGTTTAAATTTTTAGATAAATTCTTACTTTAGGTAAATTCTGGGAAACTTAGTTCATGAAACAGTGCCATCACATTAATTTTTTCTTTTCCTTTTTTAAGAGAGGCATTTGCTTATGTTCAAGAAAGAAGATTTTGTATTAATCCTAATATCGGATTTGTCCATCAACTTCAGGTAACTTCATTTTTCTTCCCTTTTAAGGCAGTCAGAAAGTAAGTTACTTAAAATCTTTTGTCCATGTAATTTAGGTATAGAATTTACTTTAAATTGCCATAATCTAATTTGATTCTTTATTCAAGTTTACATCTCTACTTAAAAGTATTCTTTAAAAGTTGCCATTGCCAAGGGAAAAAAAGGGTTAAAGGCACATTGTTAAACCTAAGTAAGATAATTAAAAATTTCTAAATTTTCTCCATTCTGCTCATACAGAGGATGAGAGAGAGAATTTAAGCATACTAAAGATAGCAGCTTTTTCTATTCTCTGTTTATCCTTCGCATATTGTTTCAAATTTTGTTGATGCTTGGCAGACATACTGAATAAAACAGCAACATAAACCTCTGAATTAATCTGACTAGACCAGGTAGTCAATATTTTTTAAGAGAGAAAATCACAGGCTGAACAATGTGCTCTAGCTAATTACATCCACTTATGCGGGAATAAAATTCACATAATCAAGAGCTTACACAATGGGTTTCAGTTACCAAAATTAAATATTTAATTTACTTCTAATTTTTACTTAATTCAAAAGAGAAACAGTGGTATGTCTATCTTTAGCTTGTTTACGTAAAATGCTTTTTAAAATTTATATTATAGATTATGAAAATAACTAACTTTATAAATTTCTTTGCCTTTTACTGTGTTTTTTAAAACTAATTTTTGTATTTTGTATTTGAAAGAATAAAATATGCATATAGTTAAAAAAATTAAAATTCAGCATCGCCTAAGGAGAATACAATGTAAAGTAAGTCTCCTTAACAGTATATCTTGAAGATCATTCTATAACAACTCATATAGCTCTATTTGCTTAAAGTTTGTAGACTACATATGCATCACGATTTTGTACAACCCATTCCTTATTTAAGGATCTTAAGGTTGTTTTTACCCTTCATGATTATACACAGTAGTGGGGAAATATCCTGATAGATACATCTTTGTGTACATGTGTGAGTATACCTGAAAGATAATTGATTATAGTGGAATTGCTGGGTTAGAGTACATTTGAAATTTGATAGATGTTTCTAAATTGCTTCTAAAGTGATGAAATAGTGTAAATTTATACCAACAGGAAACAAGGAATCATTCTTTCCTTCTACCTTAATCAATACCAGTAGCCAAAAAATCATTCACCAAATTTTTTTATCATTGCCATCATGATGGTAAAAGTGGCAATTCCATATGGTTTAATTTGATTCCTGTTGATTGAATAAGTTTGGACGTCCTTTCCTATGTTTTGGGTTATTTGTATTTATTTTTCTGTGAATTGTTTATTGGTATTCTTTGCCCATTTTTCTATCAAGTTGTTGGTCTTTTTCTCACTGGTTTGTAAGAGTTCTTTGTATATTAAGGAAATCTGTAGTTAGCCCACTGATTTGAAATACGTTTTCTTTTTTTTTTTTTGGAGACAGAGTCTTGGTCTGTCACCCTGGCTAGAGTTGCAGTAGTATCATAGCTCACTGCAACCTCAAACTCCTGGGCTCAAGTGATCCTCCTGCCTCAGCCTCCCCAGTAGCTGGGACTATAGACGCATACTACCCTGCCCAGCTAATTTTTCTGTTTGTTGTAGAGATAAAGTCTCACTCTTGCTCAGGCTGGTCTTGAACTCCTGATGTCAAGCAGTCTTCCGCCCTTGGCCTCCCAGAGTGCTAGAAGTATAGGCCTGAGCCACGGCACTCTGTCTGAAATACCATTTTTATTATAGACCAAAATCCTGATCTTTGTTTGGGTCTACTTCTGGTCTTTGTATTCTGTTCCATTGATCTGTTTATTGCTGAATCTGTATCAGCTTAAAATACTGTAATTTTATATAAATAATTTATTTTATGGCTCAAGATCCCCTCACTAATGTTTTAGAATCTTCCTGAAGAGTTCCTACAGTTATTTTCTGGTGTGACCTTTATTGGAAACAGCCTGTAGGCATTTAAAATAATATTGTCTCTACATTTGTAGTTCAGAAAAAATTGACACCTTTAAATTTTTATTTTTTTATTTTTATTATTATTATTTTTTTGAGATAGTCTTGCTTTGTTGCCCGGGCTAGAGTGCCATGGCGTCAGCCTAGCTCACAGCAACCTCAAACTCCTCGGCTCAAGCGATCCTCCTGCCTCAGCCTCCCAAGTAGCTGGGACTATAGGCATGCGTCACCGTACTCAGCTAACTTTTTCTATATATTTTTAGTTGTCTGGCTAATTTCTTTCTATTTTTAGTAGAGACGTGGTCTTGCTCTTGCTCAGGCTGGTCTTGAACTCCTGAGCTCAAACAATCCTCCCACCTCGGCCTCCCAGAGTGCTAAGATTACAGGCGTGAGCCACCACACCTGGCCTAAATTTTTAGTCTTCTCTAAGATTGTTTCATTTATTCAGGTCAACTTCCATGCCCTTTAGAATTTTGAAGTTTTCTTTGTATGAACATAAGCATCTCTTATGAAATGTATTCCTAAGTATTTTCTGTTATTCCCATTATAAGTGAAATTGTATTTTCTTCAATGTTTTCTGCATGGTTATTTGTATATAGAAAAGCTATTAATTTTCATTATATTTTCAGTTGCAAATGTACTAAACTCTTGATTGATTCTAAAAAATTTTTCAGTTGATTATCTTAACTTTTCATCTCATGTCAACTCATGATAATTTTGTCGCCTTGGGGTCCAATTTAATTTTTTCTTCTTTTTCATTGGATGTTCATTGTATCAGAACAATGATAAGTAATACTAGTGACAGTGCTCATACTTTTTTTTTTTTTTGAGAGACAAGGTCTTGCTATGTTGCCCAGGCTGGACTTGAACTCTTGGGCTCAAGCAGTCCTTCTGCCTCAGCCTCTGGAGTAGTTAGGGGCTATAGCAATATACCACCATGTCCCCTTAGTCTTGATTTTAATGCCAGTGCTTCTAGTGGTTTTGTGTGTGTGTGTGTGTGTGTGTGTGTGTGTGTATTTATTTATTCCTCTGTTAGGAGTTTTTTTTTATCAGAAATAATAATTGATTTTTGCCGTTTAAAAAAAAGGTGTGTTTTTGGAATGACTTCGCTTTACAATCCTTTGAGCCATTAATATGTTAGGTTGAGTTACTGAATCACATGTTAGATTTTCTAATATTGAATCATCCTTTTGGTCCAAAAATGGATCCCACTGGTTATGGTAGATTGTTCTCCTAATGTGTTGCAGGATTCTATTTGCTAATATTTTTTTCAGGATTTTGGAATCAGTTTAATAAGTGATACTGGTTTAATACCCTTCTTTGGTTTTAGTATCTGTCACAGGATTTTCATATTTAAAATGGAAGCTCTCCTTTCTTTTGTGCCCTGGAGAAAATTAAATTAGATTGGAGTGTCTGTTTCTTGATGCATTAGTGCTATATAGCACCTCTGAAAACCTCTGAACTTAATGTGTTTATTTAATTCAGTTATTCATTTCATTCATTCATATATTTTAAGAGTGGGCCAATTCTCAGACAGTTTTATTCATTTGGTCAATTGGTGAATTTTCTGATACTCATCAGGTCACTTTGGATGATTTTATAATCTTCTGTATAATCATTCATAAGAATTCTACATAAATTTAGGGAAAATAATATCTTGAATTTTAGTATCTTCTGATTCCATGGTTATTTTTCCATTCTTGTTTCTGATTGTATGTGCTTTTTTTTTTTAAATCTAGTTGGTCCATGTCATTTTTCTGTATTCAAGTTTCTGCTTGCTTGGTGCTTTCCTTGGGATTTGTTATTGTTGCTACTGCTGCTGTTCTTTTCATTCATTGAAGAATTCAAGACTATGAATCATCCTCTTAGCATTGCATTAATCATATGCTACAGATTCTGATATGCATTATTTTATTGTTATAGCTTGATATTCTGTGATTTTGGTTTTCATTTTATTTTTATCTAATGTGTTGAGGAGGTTTTTTTTTTTAACGGTTTATATAGGTGACAGGGTTTATAATTACTATTTTTGTTCGTAAGCTACTTAAGTTTTATTGAATTTTAATCACAATGGTTTCTAATACTTTTTGAAGTTTCCTTTGTGGTCTTATATATAGTTGTCTTTATGAATTTCATGGACATTTGAAAAGAAGATTTATTCTCTGTTTTCAGGGGATAAAGTTTGATATATTTGTCCCCTTGATCTGTCTTGGGCTGACAGAGGTGAATTGAAATCTATTACTATCTTGTGTTTGTTTTTTATTCACTCTAGTTTTTTGGGTTTTTTTTGTTTTTGCCAGTTTTGTTGCTGTATTTATTATTTGGTATATAAAACCTCAAGTTAGCTTTTCATTTTAGTAGTACCGTTTTCTATTTCAATTACTTTACCTTGCAATAACCTTGTTTAATATTATCATAAACCCTACTTTGTTTCCTTGCATTTGCCTGTTTTCCCATTCCTTTTCTTTCAGCCTTTCTAAATCATTTTGTTTTAGATGCATTTCTTAAATGTGGCCCATGGTGAAGTTTTGCTATTTGATCCAGTATCACCTTTTCTCTAATAGGTGAATTTATCCCACTTTAACTTACTGAAAATGACAGATGTCCACCATTTGATTTCATATTATGGTTTTTGTTTCTTTTTTTTTTTTCAGGAATTGGACATATTTTTCAGGAATATGTGGTTTTTGTTTCAAATGCATCCTTTTTTAAATCGTTTGCTATAGTTTGCATTCTTGATATGTTTTTGTTATTTTGATAATTTTTAAGGTTTTAAGTTATTTTTAGTTCTAATGGATACAGTTATAACTTTATATGGGTTTAAATGTTTGTTTCTTAAGTTATTACATGTAAATAACAGTTGATTCTCCACTATGAAAAAATGAAGTTATATACTTCTGCTTTGTCCCTCCCCTCCACTGCTATACCTTTATAAATATTTAAATATTTTACGTCTTATTATTTAACAGTTTTAAATAGTTTTGACCAGTATAGAATCATCTACTTATACTACCTCCTATATTTCTCAAAATTGTACCTTTTTTGCATTGTTATAGTATAAAATATTCTATAACCATATTCTCTAGTTGTTTATCCTTAGTTATACATTTAATAGGATTCAGCCAATTCCCAGCTTCTTTGCTCAACTCTTGGAATGTCTTTGAATGCTATTTTCAAGAACAGTTCATGAAGACAATATTCCCTAAGTGTTTGCATATTGGAAAATATTTTTTTGTTGTCCATACATTTCTTTTTTTTCTTTGAAGTTCAAATATCACTTCCATGTTGCCCTTATGTTTGAATGACAGTTGGCTAGATTAAAACTTTTTAATACTTTTTCTGTGATGGCTTTGGACACAGTCCTGATGTTAAATATCATTTTAGAGGAGTATGGGGACAGACCAATTTTTAAAATTTTCCTTCTTAGAGTAGTTGACTTGGAGCAGAGGGAGGTTGTTGTATATAGGTGAGCATAAGGTGCTTTATCAAGATGTACTTTGTTGATTGCTCTATATCAGTTTTTCTGAGTCATAGTATGCCCTTGCCACTTGCAAATTCAAGCCTTCCTTTATTTCAGGAAAATTTTCTTCTTATGTATTTGCCATTTTTATTATTGTTCTGATTCATATTTTGTCCCCTCCCCCAGTATAGTTTATTTTGGTTCCATTTTATCTTCCATGTCTGCCATTTTCTCTGTAATTATTTTCAACTTTGTTCTTTTTTCTTTCAGCTTGATTTTTCTCAAGTTTGTCTTCCATGTCTCATGCCGCATTGTTTTGGGTTTTTTGGTTTTTTTTTTTTGTTTTTTTTTTTTGAGACATTCTTGCTTTGTTGCCCAGGCTAGAGTAAGTGCCGTGGCATCAGCCTAGCTCACAACAACCTCAAACTCCTGGGCTCAAGTGGTCCTGTTGTCTCAGCCTCCCGAGTAGCTGGGACTACAGGCATGCGCCACCATGCCCATGCCTGGCTAATTTTTTCTATATATATTAGTTGGCCAATTAATTTCTTTCTATTTATAGTAGAGATGGGTTCTCACTCTTGCTCAGGCTGATCTCCAATTCCTGAGCTCAAGCTATCCTCCTGCCTTGGCCTCCCAGAGTGTTAGGATTACAGGCATGAGCCACCACATCAAACCTAGTTTACTCAAACATATAGAGATTGGTGAGATGAATGAAGAATTAGTAGAGAAAATTGAAAAGGAGTGGCCAATGAGGTAGAAGAAAAGAAAATCAGGAAGGTTTGGTGTCTGGGATGTTTTTTTCAAATGAAGAAAAACAGAAATAGTAATGAGAGGGAGAACTAGGGTTTAGAGTTTGTTTTCTAGGATGGAAGAGTATAGCCTATCTGTGTGCAAATTGGAAAAATCTAGAAGAAAAAGAGAAATTAATATTTTGCCAAAACTACATGGTATGGTCTATTCTCTTTGTTGATTTTACTATTCATTATTTCTGTGGCTTTGTATTTTTTCTCTTCTGTTGCTTTGTTGAGCTTAGATAGTTGATGGTCGTCTACTTCTGTTGTCATATTTCTTCCATGAGTCCTTTTATCTCTTCTTTTAACTTATTTCAGGAATGCCATTGGCTTAAGCAACTCAGGCTGCCACAGCAAAATACCAGAGTGGGTGGTTTAAGAAACACATTTATTACTCAGTTCTGGAAGCTAGGAAGTCCAAAATCAATGTGCTAGCTGATTCATTTCCTAGTGAGGGCCCTTCTGGCTCGAAGATTGTTGCCTTTTTACTGTGTCCTCACAAGGGGGCAGAGGTGCATAGTACCCTTATATTTTATAAGGATACCAATCCATCATGGGGGCTCTACCCTTATGATCTCATCTAACCATATTACCTCCCAAAGGCCCTATCTCTTAATATATTTCTTAATACCAATGCATTGAGGGTTAGAACTTGAACATTCGAATTTTGAGGGGATGCAAACGGTCCCATAATAGCCATATTTGCTTTGATTGGGTTGTCATTTTCATCTGCTTCATGGTGTGATATTTGTGCCTTTTGGTTACAGTGTTGCTTTTCTTTTTTTCCTTGCAAAAACTTTGATTAAGACCTACACTGGTTCCTTTTTGGTTATTGTTCATCTTTGAACTGGAGGTATTCTTAGATTAGCTATTTGCTCAAGAAAAAAGTTGTAGGGAAGGAGCCAGAGGAATGGTTGGGGAAGGAGATAGCTTGAATTTTCCCAGTTACTCTCTCAGTAAGCAGCAGAGTGCCTTGTGTCACAGCTTTGTTTTGTTTAAATTGATAGACACTGTACACACATTTGTGTCACCTAGGAATCCTTAATGACAATCAGTGAGTGTGGGCCCTGGCCTGGGTATGTAGTTTTTTAAGTGCCTCAAGTGATTTTTAAGTGCCTAGTCTCCTGTATAGCCAGACTAGAATTACTGGTTTAGCTTTTACCTTTAGCTATCCAAGATCAGTTGATGCTTGGCTACAAGCATCTCAGTTTCTTCTCCACTTTATTATACTTACAACCTGCTTCTTGCAAAAATGTCAGGTGTGGGTGTTCACGTTTTCCTTAATATGCCCTGCTTCCCCCACTATAGCCCACTCATACTTCCTGACTTTGTCATACTATGAAAGGCCTTGTTGGTTTTATCTTAGGTCTGCCACCTTTTTTAGAGAACTATGAACTGTACCTGTTCTGTCTGATAACTGCAGAGACAGTCATCCTCTGTGCCTCACTTAGTATGGCTCCATTTTTTGAAAATTTTATTGTGGAATATAATACACATAGAAAAATGCATGAAAGGTAAAAAACATCCATGCAACCATTACCCAAGTCAAGAAATTAGATGTTTACCAGTACCCCAAAAGTACTTTTGATGCCTCTTCCAAGTACAACTCTCTCCTTTTGTAATAATAACCACTATCCTGACCCATGTGGTAATCACTTCCTTACTTTTCTCATTATATGCAAGGTTATGGATGTTTCCTAATTTCAGCAAATGTTTTCCTTGTTTGCAGAAAGGGGACAGGGACAAAAATGCCTTTATTCCTCCATCTTTAACTGGAAGCAGAGGACTACTGAGATTGCCAGTTTTGGTTTTCGGTTTTTTTTAACAGATGAAGTCAAAGGTCATTATAGCTAATGCCCCAGTGGCAGGAGACACATACTGACTGGCAGTTCAATGTGCAATATCCTAGTGCAGGCTGTTGGCCTGACTTGATTTATAGTTATTGATAGTTGTGAAATTACTAATCTGAGGTAGGAATTTTAAATCTCCATTTCTCTTTACAATAATATGGCACCAGATTTTTCAGTGTAAACTAAGAATACCAGTAATATACATGTTAATCACTAGGTATCCAAGAATGTAAATGTATATTCAAGTTAATGATAATCTTTTTTAGGAATATGAAGCCATCTACCTAGCAAAATTAACAATACAGATGATGTCATCACCACTCCAGATAGAAAGGTCTTTATCTGTTCATTCTGGAACCACAGGTAAGAAATTTTTCCTCTTTGAGAAAGCTTATTTAAATTGTTTCAAAAACTTTTGGTAAGCTATTGAATTAAAATAAGATAATTTCAAAAGGATTAATTTATGATGAATAAATGTGTATTATAATGAGCTTCTGCTGTGTGTATACCACTGTAAATTGTGCCTCATCAATTAGAATATGCTAGTTGGAAGATCAGATATCTACTTGGTTTAATTTTCAGTCTCTTAAGTAGTATAGCTGTGTTGAAAAGATTAACATACTAAGAGGAGTCTGGAGAATGCACCCCAAACACACACTTAGGTGATCTTATTAAAAATAAAGGGTAGTTAATAAATGAAAACATGTTTCAAGTTCAGTAGGGTATGACTGATGTGAACTACCTCTATTTTTCTCTTGCTACGAATATTTCAATCCTTTCTCCCCTCCTTTGCTATTTCAGAAGTATCCCAACCCCCTCATTTTCAAAGCTGACACAAGTTAGTGTTGACCTGGAAATTGAGGACAGGTGATCTGATCCAAAAGTATAGAATTCTTTCCACTGTACTGTACTGCCTATATATTCATCCCTCACTCTCAACTTCCTAGTTATCATTGGCTCTTTTTTTTTGAGACAGAGTCTTGCTTTGTTGCCCAGGCTAGAAGTGAATGCTGTGGCATCAACCTAGCTCACAGCAACCTCAGACTCCTGGGCTCAAGCAATCCTACTGCTTCGGCCTCCCGAGTAGCTGGGACTACAGGCATGTGCCACCATGCCCGGCTAATTTTTTCTAGATATATTAGTTGGCAAATTAATTTCTATTTATAGTAGAGACGGGGTCTTGCTCTTGCTCAGGCTGGTTTTCGAACTCCTGACCTTGAGCAGTCCGCCCATCTCGGACTCCCAGAGTGCTGGGATTACAGGTGTGAGCCTGGCCTTATCATTGACTTTTTTCTTTTCTCTGCCACCTCTGTCTAATTACTTTCCAAATCCAATAAGATCTGTTTCATCAGTATCTTTAAAATTCCTTCCTAAAATTTTAGTAGTAACCTTAATCTAGTTGAGATCCAGATAGGACTTCTTTACAAACTCTTGGTATTTGGTCTGTTCTGTACATTGTGGCCAGACTTATTTTCATGAAAGACATTTCCAATAGTGATACCATTTTCCTTTGCCAAAGTATTCATTGGCTTCATTCCTACAGAAGAAAATATATACAATGCCAGAGGTGATAAAGGCCTTTCCGATTTTTAATTTCTATCTCTTATTCTCTTTAAATCTGTACTCCAGAAAGCTGAACCTACTGATGGTTTCCTGTGGGTATCTTCTTTTCTCCACCCAAAATGCATCACATTTGGTTTCCCAATTCTTGCTTCATGAAGATTGATACCTTCTCTGGAAAACATGATTGACACACTCTCCTCCAACTCCATGTCATTTGGAGTTCCCATAGAAGCACAGCACTTCATGTGAAACTGAATCACAGCATCTGCATTTAGCTTAATGGCCAGGGTATTTTCTTCCAACTTACCTTTGTATTGATATTACATCAGTACAAATTGATTGTATTATTAAGCTTACAGTGAAATATTAGCTTAATGTTAGAATCTGTCCTCTGGATTAACATTATTACCATGATTTAACACAACCTTTAGGGCGTAAGTTTAAGGCCATGCCATTGCTAGGCAAAAAAGATAGCAGATCCTCTGCCAGTTTAACCGTTAGTTCCCTGAAGTTTTCCTCCATTGAGACACAAATTTCTTGATTATAACTGTTGGGCATATAGGGATAGTTTTGATTCTATGTAGGATATTTCTGTATTTAGCAGACTCTGATGTGAAAAGTAGATAAAAGCAAATCTCTTCATCTACTACATGCCTTCCAACCCTAGACTTGTTGGTAATAAAAGACACAGCTTCATCAAAGTTCTGTTCTCTTCCAAAAAGAAAAAAAAAAAAAAAGACACAGCTTCAGTGGAAAAGTATTTTTAGCTACTATTCATAATAGTATTCGTGAAAGCAAAAAGAAAATTATATCTACAAAAAATCATATAAGATTCATTTCTTAAATCTTATGTCCTAAGTTACGTTTATGATGCCTAAAAAGCACAAACTTGGTAACCAAACACTGATGTATCATTTTAAAGGGTCTGTTTTAAAAATTATTTATTATATGCAGTATCTAATTATACATATACTCAATTTTCAGGAGGGAAAATACATACTGTCATGAAGAAAAAAACTTATTTGCGTAATTTATAACAATTGAATTTACTAAAGTTTGCTATAAATTCAGTTAGAGAATTTTCATAGTGTTTATATGGTATCACATCATGAAAAACAAATTTTTACTGCCTGTAATATTCTAACATGAATTTATTTAAGTTTCCATTTTATGTTATCTTCATGCAATAACTTTTAGGCAGTTTGAAGAGAACACATGAAGAAGATGATGATTTTGGAAATATGCAAGTGGCAACTGCGCAAAACGGCTGACTGAAGAGCAAAATTACAGGATGTGAATTTCTATTTGGGAAGGAGAAAATACTAGAGAGAATGATAATGTAAAATGGTAAAAACAAGTAGTTTCTTTTCAATTATATGTTGCTTCCAGACATGTTTCTCTGCAACTTGTTAAGCAACATTTTAAGATGTTGGACTTCTGCAATAGATGGCACTGATGGTTTTACTTCTTTTTCTTTTTTTAAAAAAACACTTTACAAGTTTTATTATAAACCAAGAATTTTGGACTTGCAAAGAGGTATTATTGCAATAATGCACTTTTCATACTTGAAATTTATTTGTATGATATAAAGTTATTACTTTAAACAAAATGCAAGTTAGGGGGGATTTGTTTATAAAGTTTGGGTAATTTATAACAAGAATTTCCTAAGGTTTGCTAAAAATTCATTTTTAGTTCTATAACATTTTAAAAATAATTTTACAGTTCAGTTTTATGATGGAGCCTCTTACAGAAACATTAACAAAATGCAGGAATCTGCCACATTTCATTTTTAGTATATAAGTCAGTAGCTTAATTATTTTGTTTAAACTTCTTGACCCCTTAATGATCTTTAAATCATGACACTACTCAACTATTTCTACTTTGACATGGTCTAATTACTGCTTCCTGTTACCTTCATAATTTGTTTATTCTATAGAAAAAGCCACCAAGTTTTAATGATAAAAGGAATGTGTTCTGCTTTAAAAAGTGCTTAAAAACAAGAATAGTGTTAGATTTTCAAGTGACTTTCCTTTTTGTTTTTTTTTTTTGTGGTAACAGCCAAATTTTGTATTTGTTCTTTTCAGTGTTGAGCAGCTCTTTTTTCTTGTGTCCAAAATGGTTCTAAATAGAATATAATAAACCAATGTAGCACTAATTTTTTTCTAAATGAAGCCCAAAAAAGAAAAGTGCCTTGCATCATTAAATAAAAATAATCAAATCCTCATGACTTCTAAATTAATATGTAGAACAGTGAAAAGATCTTAATATTTTTCTGTAATTTCTTTTTAAACCATAAACTAGTAACTCAAAGTATGAGGCTTGAGGAGACTTTAGTAAATTATTTGGAATATGGGACACATTTACTCCATTTTTTGTTGTCTTTATGATTCTGTGAGATTGTTCAGCTCAGAAGCTTTTCTTTGAACACGCATTTATTGGGGAAAGCGATTGTTGGGAGACTCTAGTGTACTTTCAGTTAGCATTTTAATCAGTTCCTTACATTCAGTTAATCCAAACTTCCCCCATAATTTTCTTTAGCGAAGTCACTTTATGGATCTTTGGTTCTCCATGTTTTTATTTATATGTATAAAAATTGTTCTAAGAGAAACATTTTTGCTATTTTAAGTAAGATGTGAGGGAAGAGAAGAGTGTTTTAAACTTTTTATAGTTGATGACTTTAGGTTAGCACAAATAAAACTCCTTTGTATCTCACTTTTCTCAGTCCTCTCTTGAGGTGCTTTTCTGATGGGAATGATTTCTACACATTCCCTTGGTCACCCAGAGGCACTATGTGAAGTAACCTATTACACCAAGTTACTTGCTTTGCTTTCCTCCCTATGATGTAATAATATAGTAAAAGCTTTTTTATCCAACATAGTGGGAGAGTGAAAATTAAAATTGCTGTTAATTAAGAGTTAATTCCTGTTGACCCAGGTGGTATTCTCCTTCTGATTTCCCTTCCCTTTTCTTACCACCCTGAAAACATATTGTTAATCCCATTGTGGTCTGATATTCTGTTATGTGATTAGGTCATCTGGTGTACAGTTGTCTAGTGGAGTCAAGATTTGTAATGGGTGTTCAAAAATTCCAGTTGGTGAAGTTACCAGATAAGACAGGTTTCCTGTAAATAGATCACTATTGGATAGGTCAACAAAGATCTCTTATAATCTAATAATAATCTGTGATGCTTCATTCAGCATAAAATCAGCTTAAAAGAATCGTCCTAATAGTGAATTTAGGTTTTAAAAATGAGGCAGTTAAGATTTTTGATAAGTTTCATAAACGTATCCTCTAGTATAGTCAAAAATACATATTTGGTTATGAGCATTATTTTATAGCTGGTAATTTTCCACCTTTTCTAACCACTATAATATTTTATGTTGTCACAAAAGTGCCTGCCCAGCACTGTATATTAAAGATAGTCTCTCACAAACACTAGAAAAAGGGACTGTCTTAATCTAGAACACAATGTGGACAAAACATGAGGTTTATTCTTTTTCATATAAGAACATTGCAAGCTCGTTTTTTCTTGAATCTATGTCAGCTAGTTCTTCTGATAGCCTTTCCATTTCCGTGATTCCTTTATTTCCATTGATGTTTTGTGATAGATAACCATGATAAATTTAACCAATCATGATTTATTTTCTAGAGTATATAAATAATGTATGAGTGACCACCCACTTTTAACATTAAATATGTAATCTGGGCACAGAAGTTAAAGTGGAATTACATCAAAACTTAGGGAAACTGCATTACTGTCCCTTTTGAAAGTATGAAACTTAAATATTGAAAATATTCAAACTGGAATGGCAGTGTTCTTACCTTCTAATTTGAGTTCATTGGTTCGTGTTAATTTCTTATCTTTTAGATGTTTAAAACAGCAGTTACCTCTGTTTTTTTGTATCTGCTCTATGTTGGAAATGTTAAATCGTGATAGCTTTTGCTCCCACCTCTCAACCACTTAACTTTTTAGAGCAGAATATTCATTTTGGGAGGATTTCGTGCTTCATCTGAGTTTAGAAGTAATGTCAGAAAAATGTTAAGCATGTCCTTTTTAAGAAAATATAAGGTTTCTAATTGTCTTATTACCATGGTAATTCAAGTGAATTAGAAGTATTTAACTGAAATCTTGAATTATAAAGTTGAGATGTATATATCAGGATCTCAACTTGATGTAAAGTAAATGAGCAGTTACCTGGCGGATTTTTTTTTTTTTAAATAACTGATTTAATCCATAATCCCATAACAAACATAGCTTCACTTCAGTATTTACTTTTTTGTTCATCCAACAATGGTCCAATAAGGAAATGATAGGAAATAGCTTAGAATTACTAAAAGATTTTTGTTTCTAGGGTCTCTGAATGCTGGATTTGTTTTGTTTTGTTTCCCATCTGTGGCAGCTAAAAAAAAAAAAAAAAAATCACTCAATATTCAGGTTTACATGTTAGCTCTCTCTCATAGGGAGTTGCCATACCTCACAGTTCAAAGTGTATTCTATAGATTCAGTGTAACCGATAGACGGAGGCATTAATGCAATGGATTACTGATGCAGCAAAAATGATTCAAGACGAAAATAATATAGTGCTATTTACCTTTGTATAGGCAATTGTTAAGTTACTCGCTTTTAACATTTGTACTTGGATAAAATGCTTATGTATGTATAGAATGTCACAGTGCAAGATGCTGCTAGCCCAAGCACAAAGTATTAAAATTATTTTGTGAAGATTGGTGGTTGTATTAAAACTGTTGTGCCATTATACCTCAAAAAGATTGAAAAGCTCATTCAACTACTTATGCTTCAGAACTTCTTTACTTAGATTGTTAACCTTCCAGATAAAAGTAACCCAATTTGACTCCCACAGGTTAAGAAGTTAACACTGGATATCGAAAAGTACTTAAGAGCATTCTACAAAGGTCACACAGACACAGAAAATTATGGTCAGTAGTCCATGCAAGCCTCAAATTCCAGCTCAAGTATTTTTAAGGATTAGTTGAGCAAGTTGTAGTTGGAGGTGAGGGAATTCTGAGGGAAAGAGTAGGTCATCTATAGAACAGCTACCAGCCCATTAACGAAATACTTCTTGCTTTTACAGTACCATTTTCCCCCCTTAGCCTACCTATAATCAGTTCTTCATCAAGTAATTCTATGGTTCCATCACAACTACATCATTATTTTAGATACCACTAAAGGGCAAAATATTGCTAATGCCAATGATCATAAAATGCATCCAGATTTCAGAGATTTTCTTGTGCGTCTTACGGTCAATGAGGTATAAATATACAAAACATGGGACACAGTAAAAAAAAATCACAACTGCCACCTCACTATCCTTTTCATTAGCAAAGAATGCTCAAAAATGTGGTGAATGAATATACTTCATGTTTTAAGTGTTTTATACAGGCATTTGTCATGCTCAGATTTACTTCACAATGGGCTCACAATAGAGAATCATATACTCTAGTAAACTAAAGCTAAATACAGGATAACTATTGTCTTCAATGACACAATTTTTTATTTACTAAACCCGACCTATAACTATTTCCTTCAGGAAGAGGAGACCTTAAGAACATTATTTAAAGGATTTATTGAAATACCAATTTGTAGATAATTTTTCTTCAAACTGTGTTGAGCGGTAGAAATGTAATAGAGCATTTAATTTTACCTTTACTAGGTTTTTTTTTTTTAAGAGATGGGGTCTCCCTTGTGCACCGAAGGGTGGCATACAGTGATATGATCATAGCTCACTGGAGCCCCGAATCTGGGCTCACACATCCTCCTGCTTTAGCCTCCTGAGTATCTAGGACTACAAGTGTGTGCCACTATGCCCAGCTAGAATTTTTAAATTGTTTTTGTAGAGACAGGTTCTTGCTATGCTGCCCAGGCTAATCTGGAACTCCGTGCCTCAAGTGATCTTCCTGCCTTGGCTTCCCAAGCACTGGGATTACAGGCATGAGCCACTGGGCCTGGCCCCAGGCCGTGTTTTTTAACATGATTTTAGATTAGCAGAATTTACCGTAAGAAACTTACTGTCTGCAATGTTGTAAAACCCTGAAAAGACAGAACTGGCTTTGTTGCTTTCAGTGGAGAGAATCAGTTCATCTGCATAGGTCATAAACAGATTAGTGCACTCTCTATTGGCGAAGGATTTTCGATTATTTTTGGAAAGCCAACTTTAGCTGATTACAGGAGCACAAATCTAAAATCTAGTTGTGTGGTGTGAGTCAGAGGGATGCTAAACAAAGGGATTCTAAGTTCACTTTACACAGAATGATAAAACTCAAATTTATGAATCATGATAACCTAATAGTTCAATTAGAAAATTCAAGAAAAGCAAAGAGGATTCTAACAGAAGACTATTATCATATGAACAGGTTTATTGGAACATGAGGATGCAAAAGATTAGAAACTGTTAAAGTGTAATTCTTCAACTTTAAAATAATTAAAATAAATAAAATCAAAACAGGATAATGACCAGAATAATAGTACCATTATAATCACATTAAAAAGAAGCTTCCATCACATTTTAAGAATGTGAAAAAAACAGTATGAGACATTCAAACTGTATTACTCGTTTATAATATTCCATTTCATAAAAGTATTACCAGAAGACAGGCTTCAGATATTCATGAAATGAGAGTAAGAATACATATGCTAAGATTTACTAATATCATATTAAAAAATACCTAGAGTCCCATTATAATTGTTTTGGTAGTATTTTAACAAATGTTAAATATTCACAGAGAAGACAGGTAGTATTTTATCTACATAGAACTATGTAAACTTTCAGTAAAATATTTCAATTATTTACTATGAATCTTGTCACATTTTATAAGTTAATTTCATTTCTTCTGCTGACGAGGTTGTTTGTCAATGTTAGGATCAACAAATACTGGACTTACTACATTTAGTTGTAACTAGTTTATCCAATTTATTTATTATGTGGAAATTATAGAGCCCCTAAGTGTATTTAGATCTGTTTCTTTGAAAAAAAATATTAATTTTATGCATGTTATAAGAAACAGCTTATTCAACATATTTTTTTAAACAAGCATACAAATAGCAGATGTATATCTCTTTATACTCATACTCTTTGACTACAAAAAATGAAGCCAGAATTTAGAAAAATACAATGCAAGAAAGAGTTCAAGTTAAAAATATATTCCTTTGGTAAAATCATTCCCATATATAATAATCATTTGTAATCTAAACTCACAGAATGTCCCACCAGCCAAAGTAATCTTCTAAATGTCATACTTGCAGTATTACAATGTTTTCTTCAGTCCGTATTTATGGAGGTCACTGGGTTGCAGCAACAGATATTTTATTTACTCTAGAAAAGGATAGCCTTCTGGCAATTAATGCCTTTGACAATTTCTTTCTTAAAATATTTTTACTTTAGAAACCTTCGACACAGTAGTTTTCTTCAGATACTGTATATCAAACTAGTTTGTATAGAAACCAACATTTTGTGGTAGACATTCAAGAGTAATCTTATAACAGTTCAGTTTCTTGCTTAGCAAAGTAAGGGTTGATAATAACCTGAAATTTAAAAGGGGGGAGGGTGGGAAGACAACATATATTAATAAAAATGGGTTTTATAACTATGAATTTATGTCTTAAAACTTCAGATTTTATTAACAATAGATTTAGACCATGGTCTTTTCTACTGCATTCATTTAAATATTCAAATTGCAACTGATGAGCATTTAAATCCCCAAAGCACTTTTATTTGGTTTCAAATATACTTTAGTAATCTCTAGCCTTTTATTAAATAGGACAAATACTAACATCACCCTAAACCCTCTTTAAAAATAGATTTTAGATTCATTTTAACACTAAGATTCATGTAACACTAATACATTCATATTTACACAACCTTTAAAAAAATATTCCCAGGCCAGGCACAGTGGGTCACACCTACAATCCTAGCACTCTGGAAGGCCAAGGCCAGAAAATAGCTTGAGGTCAGGAGTTCAAGACCAGCCTGAGCAAGAGGCAAGACCCCATCTCTACTAAAAATATTTAAAAAATTAGCTGGGTATGGTGGTGCGTGCCCATAGTCCCAGCTACTGGGGAGGCTGAGGCAGGAGGATTGCTTGAGCACAGGAGTTTGAGGTTGCTGTGAGCTAGGCTGATGCCATGGCACTCTAGCCCAGGTGACAGAGCAAGACTCTGTCTCAAATTAATTTTTTTAAATTGCCAAAATTATTTTATGAAAAGTCTTTATTCTAAATCTATTTAAACTACTTAGGAGCAGTCAACATTCCCACATAAAATGCATACATAATAGCTTTATTTTTAAAGCTACTTTAATATTTGTGAAAGTATCAGATTAACTCAAGATTGGTCTAATTAATATGAAGTGGAAACACAGCGAAAAAGTATACATCTTTGCTAATCCCTAAAGAATCCAAGCCCAGGATGTGGTTCTAACTGCCTTAGAGTATAAAAATTATGAAAGTTCTACAAAAATTTGAAGGATTTTCTCATGTTTGAATAGACTCAAAAATGTCATTTTGGAAATAAAAGATCTTCATTGAAGTTACAAAATTATAAAAGGTATGACTAAGTTAAATGGACTAGAATACCAGAAATTAGTCTGCTGTATTTGATAATATATTTCAAATACCTAGAGTAGTATCTAGGACATAGCAGGTGCTTTATATTTATTGAGTGAATTCCTTAAAACTCAGAATTCTGAGATAACATTAAAAAGCAATAATAGGCAATAAGCTTTTACATTTAAAGAGTTAGAGAAATGTATATAGGCAGGCATCCTCAAACTACTGCCGGCGGGCCACATGTGGCATTTATCTGGCCCGCAGGGTGCTTTTGCCACGACTGCCTGTCCTGCTTAGGAGGCTACTCTTCCTGGGCCCACCGTGCACATGTGTGGAATGTGCGCCGCACTCTCCAATGGCCCTCCAATGGTCTGAGGGACAGTGAACTGGACCCCTGTTTCAAAAGTCTGAGGACCCTAGTCTAGAGGCTTATACAGTAAAGCCTGTTTCAGTATACATTTCTAAACAGATCACAGAATATTCTGTAATAACTGAATACTTCCTTTGTTTTTAGATATGACAGAAATTGAGGCAAATCCCCTGACTAGCCCAAAAGTTTGTTTCCTACTAATGTGAGAATACTACTATTAAAAGTTGATAACTTAAAAATATTACTTTCTAGAAAGGAGTATACTTCCAATTATCAAACTTTATTTATTCATTAAATTCAGTCTAAGTTATAGAGTGAGAATGGGTTCTAAATTAATGAAACCCAAAAAGAACTGAAATATAATTTAACCAGGGTTACCTTGTTTCTGCCTACTTACAATTTGCCAAGCTGCTTTCCTCTGCATTCATCACTAACGACAACATCTTCTACTCTTCCTCTCTGAAAATATTTACAAAGTTTAAAGGACTAAGCATCTAGTTTGGGTTTTAGCTAAAACAAGTGAGTTCTTAAGAATTTATTGATTAAAAAGAAGTATGTTTTGTAACCTTTAAATTCACAAAAACCAAAATGCAAAAAAACAAAATGAACTTTTTACTCATTGGATTTAGTATAACCAATCAACTTGTGGCCTATTCTTGTTTGGTTATGTCCCCAGCCCATTGATTTAAACCAAAATCCACATCACCAAAATGTAATCTTGTCATGAATATAATACATCCATCATTCTCCTCCTTTCATGCCAATTTATATCAGACATCCAAATAAAATTAATTTCTAGTACAGAAACCCCACCAAAATTAATAAGCCTCACAGAACACATTCCAAGTGTTCCTATCTTATTCTTGTTGGGTGACCTAGAGGATTTTGTTGTTTACTATTTCATGTGAGTTCTTGAGGGGTAAAAGGATGCTACAAGCATTAGAAGTATCACAATTCCAACAGAACATGGTATTCTGAACCATTTTACTACTTGAAAGTGGCTAAAAATTTGTGCTAATGCAGTATATTCAAAGTGTCATTTCAAAAAAAAATAACATTAGGGATTCTATACATTACTGCTAAATTGCATGATACCACTTGGTTTCTTAAATCTAACACCTTACAGAACAATTTTAGCAAACAATTCATACTGTTAATACATTTTCTTTCTGAAAGCTCTCAGAAAACACTGGGAAAAGTGCCTATTACTAAAGGATTTCTAAGAAGCAATGAAAAGCAGTGAGAAAATAGATTTGTCTAATGGAAACTACGTTTCGCCAGAAAACGCCTGTCCATTGTGTAAATGTGAACACATACCTTAGCACAGGAATGGATAAATTTATGTTCTATTATCAGAGTTGCGGTAGCAACAATCTGTCCTAGAGTCACATCTTCTACAACTGTAACATAATAATCCCCAGATTTCTTCATATGCTCAAAAGATTCTATGGAAATTAGAAAACAAAGTGTTATCTAGTGGACATTCAACTTTATCCGGTACTAGAAAAAACTATGATTAACTGACTTAATTATTGAATATTTAAAACTATTTTACCATAATTACTTTCCAATTTTAGAGAAAATACTACATTACTAAAAAGGACTGAAATATCAGCAATCGGTATCAATTGGAATATAGTCCATACATTTAAATTATCTGCTAGCAAAGTAAAGACTAATACAGTGATTTCAGATGAACAGCACTTACAAGTAAATAATAGATGGTGGTGTTATTTCTATGACGAATGACTGAAAACTCCAATTTCTCTATTACTAAATAGACTTCTTTAAACTTTACACGCAACAAACATTCGAATGAAACAAAAACTTGGCGAATTTTAACAAAAGCATGTTTACATGGCACCATTCTGTAATTTTTAGTCTTTTGGTATAGTTTTCAGTCTTCCCTTTGTAATAACAAGTGTTTCATGATTACATGGCATGCTCTTTAGAAACAATCATTGTTTTTGTTTGCTTTGAAAGTATACTGCAAAGGAGGTGAAAATTTTTTTCCATTTCCAAGTAATTTTTCCAAAGTCACATAGAAATAGGAGCAAAGATACTCTCCTCTTAAATTTATTTTGAATACTTATATTGCTGAAATAACATGGTTTCTCATCTAATCTGATAGGCATGCATAGAGGAATTCAGGAATAAAAAGTGAGCTGAAGAGTGTCATTCTAGATAAATAGAAATAAGAAATTCAATGTAGGAAAACAATGTGAATTAGGGAATGTGGTCTTCATTCTCAGGAGGATCAGGGCACAAAACCAAATTACCTATGAAAGAAATGAAGAATTATAGAAAACAAGAAAAGGCAGTGTAGAGCGCTGAACGGAGTTAGGAAGGTTTTAATCCTTTCCTTACCAATAACTACTTGTGATCTTGGGTAAGTCACTGGATCTCTCTGGATTCCCATTTTCTTACTCATATATCTACAAAAGGGGAGTTGGACTAACACAAAGATACCTGCTAACCTTAAAATTTATTAATGAACCAAAAAAATTAAAAATTGATATTCTTACATTTTTGATTTTGTGATGAAATTTCTGTGAATAACCTAGCCCTAACCACATGAAAGGCAATACAGCCAGTCCCTGAGTTAAGGATAAGAAATGTCGTATGGAGGAAGGAGGAACAAGATGGCGGACAAGAAACACCGCCAGAAAGAGCGTCTCTGCAGAAAAGACAGATTCTAGCAGAAATTAGAAAAAAGAAGCAAGAAGGCGAGCATACAGCAGACGAAGGCCAGAAGGAGGGGTACCTGAGACCCCAGGAGACTCCACGGGAGGAGGCTGTGGAGGAGAACTGGAAGCTGAGACCGCCGGAGCAGCCCGGAGACCAGCAGCAAGGGTAGGTGGATAAATCACCTTTCCCCTCCCCTGCATTTGGGACTGCTGGTGGGCTCCCCAGCGGGTGGAGAGACCTGAGGACACCAGCCCAGAGACGGCCACTGCCAGCTAGCGGTGAGCCTGTAGACAGGTGATAATAACCTGAAATTTAAAAGGGGAGGGTGGGAAACAACATATATTAATAAAATGGGTTTTATAACTATGAATTTATGTCTTAAAACTTCAGATTTTATTAACAATAGATTAGACCATGGTCTTTTCTACTGCATTCATTAAATATATCAAATTGCAACTGATGAGCATTTAAATCCCCAAAGCACCTTTTATTGGTTTCAAATATACTTTAGTAATCTCTAGCCTTTTATTAAATAGGACAAATACTAACATCACCTAAACCCTCTTTAAAAATAGATTTTAGATTCATTTTAACACTAAGATTCATGTAACACTAATACATTCATATTTACACAACCTTTAAAAAAATATTCCCAGGCCAGGCACAGTGGGTCACACCTTACAATCCTAGCACTCTGGAAGCCAAGGCCAGAAAATACTTGAGGTCAGAGTTCAAGACCAGCCTGAGCAAGAGGCAAGACCCCATCTCTACAAAAATATTTAAAAAATTAGCTGGTATGGTGGCTGGCCATAGTCCAGCTACTGGGAGCTGAGGCAGGGAGGATTGCTGAGCACAGAGGTTGAGGTTGCTGTGAGCTAGGCTGATGCCATGGCACTCTAGCCCAGTGACAGAGCAAGACTCGTCTCAAATTAATTTTTTTAAATTGCCAATTATTTTATGAAAGTCTTTATTCTAAATCTATTTAAACTACTTAGGAGCAGTCAACATCCCACATAAAATGCATACAAATAGCTTTATTTTTAAAGCCACTTTAATATTGTGAAAGTATCAGATTAACTCAAGATTGGTCAATTAAATGAAGTGGAAACACAGCGAAAAAGTATACATCTTTGCTAATCCCTAAAGAATCCAAGCCCAGATGTGGTTCTAACTGCCTTAGAGTATAAAAATTATGAAAGTTCTACAAAATTTGAAGGATTTTCTCATGTTTGAAATGACTCAAAAATGTCATTTTGGAAATAAAAGATCTTCATTGAAGTTACAAAATTATAAAAGGTATGATAAGTTAAATGGACTAGAATACCAGAAATTAGTCTGCTGTATTTGATAATATATTTCAAATACCTAGAGTAGTATCTAGGACATAGCAGGTGCTTTATATTTATGAGTGAATCCTTAAAACTCAGAATCTGAGATAACATTAAAAAGCAAATAATAGCAATAAGCTTTACATTTAAAGAGTTAGAGAAATGTATATAGGCAGGCATCCTCAAACTACTGCCGGCGGGCCACATGTGTGCATTTATCTGGCCTGCAGGGTGCTTTGCCACGACTGCCTGTCCTGCTTAGGAGGCTACTCTTCCTGGGCCCACCGTGCACATGTGTGGAATGTGCGCCGCACTCTCCAATGGCCCTCCAATGGTCTGAGGGACAGTGAACTGGACCCCTGTTTCAAAAGTCTGAGGACCCTGGTCTAGAGGCTTATACAGTAAAGCCTGTTTCAGTATACATTTCTAAACAGATCACAGAATATTCTGTATAACTGAATACTTCCTTTGTTTTTAGATAGGACAGAAATTGAGGCAAATCCCTGACTAGCCCAAAAGTTTGTTTCCTACTAATGTGAGAATACTACTATTAAAATTAATAACTAAAATATTACTTTCTAGAAAGGAGTATACTTCCAATTATCAAACTTTATTTATTCATTAAATTCAGTCTAAGTGTATAGAGTGAGAATGGGTCTAAATTAATGAAACCCAAAAAGAACTGAAATATAATTTAACCAGGTTACCTTTCTGCCTACTTACAATTTGCCAAGCTGCTTTCCTCTGCATTCATCACTAACGACAACATCTTCTACTCTTCCTCTCTGAAAATAATTTACAAGGCAGTTAAAAAAAAATCACAACTGCCACCTCACTATCCTTTTCATTAGCAAAGAATGCTCAAAAATGTGGTGAATGAATATACTTCATGTTTTAAGTGTTTTATACAGCATTTTGTCATGCTCAGATTTACTCACAATAGGGCTCACAATAGGAAATCATATACTCTTAGTAAACTAAAGCTAAATACAGATAACTATTGTCTTCAATGACACAATTTTTATTTACTAAACCCTACCTATAACTATTTCCTTCAGGGGAAGAGTAGACCTTAAGAACATTATTTAAAGGGATTTATTGAAATACCAATCTTGTAGATAATTTTTCTTGAAACTGTTGAGCGGTAAGAAATGTAATAGAGCATTTAATTTTACCTTTTACTAGGTTGTTTTTTTTTTAAGAGACGGGGTCTCCCTTGTCACCAAGGGTGGCATACAGTGATATGATCATAGCTCACTGGAGCCCCGAAATCCTGGGCTCACACAATCCTCCTGCTTTAGCCTCCTGAGTATCTAGGACTACAAGTGTGTGCCACTATGCCCAGCTAATTTTTAAATTGTTTTTGTAGAGACAGGTTCTTGCTATGCTGCCCAGGCTAATCTGGAACTCCTGTCCTCAAGTGATCTTCCTGCCTTGGCTTCCCAAAGCACTGGGATTACAGGCATGAGCCACTGGGCCTGGCCCCAGGCCTGTTTTTTAACATGAATTTTTAATTAGCAGAATTTACCTAAGAAACTACTGTCTGCCAATGTTGTAAAACTCCTGAAAAGACAGAACTGGCTTTGTTGCTTTCAGTGGAGAGAGATCAGTTCATCTGCATAGGTCATAAACAGATTAGTGCACTCTCTATTGGCGAAGGATTTTCGATTATTTTGGAAAGCCAACTTTAGCTGATTACATGGAGCAAAATCTAAAATCCAGTTGTGGTGGTGTGAGTCAAAGGGATGCTAAACAAAGGGATTCTAAGTTCACTTTACACAGAATATAAAACTCAAATTTTATGAATCATGACTTAACCTAATAGTTCAATTAGAAAATTCAAGAAAAGCAAAGAGGATTCTAACAGAAGACTATTTATCATATGAACAGGTTTATTGTAACATGGAATGCAAAAGATTAGAACTGTTAAAGTGTAATTCTTCAACTTTAAAAATAATTAAAATAAATAAAATCAAAACAGGATAATGACCAGAATAATAGTACCATTATAATCACATTAAAAAGAAGCTTCCATCAACATTTTAAGAATGTGAAAAATACAGTATGAGACATTAAACACTGTATTCTACTCAGTTTTATAATATTCCATTTTCATAAAGATATTACTCAGAAGACAGGCTTCAGATATTCATGAAATGAGAGTAGAAATACATATGCTAAGATTTACTAATTCACTATTAAAAAATACCTTAGATGTCCCATTATAATTGTTCTTAGGTATTTTTAACAAATGTTAAATATATTTCACAGAGAAGACAGGTAGTATTTTATCTACATAGAACTATGTAAACTTTCAGTAAAATATTTCAATTATTTTACTATGAATCTTGTCACATTTTATAAGTTAATTTTCATTTCTTCTGCTGACGAGGTTGTTTGTCAATGTTAGGATCAACAAATACTGGACT